CAGGTTGGACGGGGCTCTGAGCAACCTGCTCTGGTTGAAGATGTCCCTGCTCATTGCAGGAGGGTTGGACCTTTAAAGGTCCCTTCCAATCCAAACCATTCTATGATTCTTTGATTACTGGAAGAAAAAAAGAACGAGAAAGAAGAACTGAGACATGAATAGCCATTGCAGTGAAAAATGGAGTTGTATTTGATGCATAGGGAATGCATGCAACAGAGGAGGTGATGTAAGGTAACCAACAATTAAGAGGATCTCTGTTGTCACCTTTTTGGCTGAATTTAGGTATGGCATACATATCCAGAACTCCTCCGAAATGTGATGTATTAGCAGGTAGGACCATACACATATTACAGAGGGCTGACAAATGTTAATATTATTTTCGTACCTATTTTAAGGAGTATAGTTTATTTCCCTTCAGACTTGTCTTTTTATTCACCAGTTTTACTTCTGAGTTTATGATTTCCACATTTGAGACAGCTTAATGGCTCTCAAAAAATTGGTGTAATATTTGGGTTCACATTGTGAAGAAGAGAACATTTACTGATTAATTGGTATAAACATTGTAAGCAAGAGGACAACTGCACTATTTATAGTTCCTTTCTCCAAGATGAGACAGAACTTCAGAAAGTGCAATCCATTGGAAGAGAAGACTGTGTCTTGAAAGGCAAGGATGCCATGGCAGGAACAAGTTTAAATCCCAAACCAGATCACACTTTGTTGTTTCAGGGATTTAATTTTTTAATCTTGGAAACTACAGGATTTTCCAGGATGTTCACCTTTCTCAACAAATAATCAGTCCAGATTCCCATCATTGCAAGTATCCAGCAACAAGACTAGAAAATGTTTATCATGTCCAGCTCAGAGAAGAGATCAGAGAATGTTCAAAAATTAGAACTACGCACCTTTTCTTATTGATATTAAGAAGCTGCTTTGGGAATATCTTGGGTAGTAACTGGGAGGCTTTTAGCAAGCACCATTTTACCATTTTTATTAGAGGCCTACAATTACCTGTAAACTAGCGCTGATATTTTTATTCCGACTCAGCTGCTAATTCTTCAATGACTTTCTTAATTTTCCTCTCCTATTTTCTGAGCTGTGGAGTAGGGGAAACATGGTGTGGTGTCTTAGGACAATTTTTACATGTGGAAGGTCTTTACTACAAAACCACTTTATATTCTAAGCATTTAGATTTCTAAGTACTTGACATAATTGATCTCACAAGCCTTTTCAATAAATTTGAGATTCATAGAACAGGTCTTCAAATAATAGTACTAACTGGATTACTGTCCAAAGTGCTTTCCTAGACTCGTTTTCTTCTATCCAAATACCTTGAGTGGGTGGACTTTGTAAGCTCTCCAGCTTTCTAGGTGACTCCAGTACTTGGATGCCTCCAGTATCTCTGATCTGCCTGCAGAACATCTGTAGAAAGATACAGAGACCATCAACGCAGATGGTCCATGCAACAGACCCACTTGGGAGACAGGCTTATTATCTTCATAATGTGATTTTGACTTCTGCTCTACTTTTTAATCATAGAATCATAGAATATTTTGGGTTGGAAGGGACCTTTTAAGGTCATCTAGTCCAACCGCTCTGCAATGGGCAGGGACATCTTCAACTAGAGCAGGTTGCTCAGAGCCCTGTCCAACCTGACCGTCATTAATGCGTGACAGCTTCTTAGGTTCCATGCACACTGGAATCTTCAGATTTACAGATGGGCTGGGCAGGATCAAGGCAACACAGGCAGCATGTTTTACATTTGCTGGGCTTACCACTTATGCCTCAACACCGCACATGCCCACATATTCCTGGCCATGAAACCCTGCAGGGAAGTATGGGCTCACTAGAGGTGAGAGGGGAGAATATATGCAGGTGATGCCACCGAGTGCAAAAAACATTTCAGATTTTTCCTTCTGTGCAGTAGTAAATTGCTTGTTCACAAGGACCACAAAAATATTCCTTGTAGAAATGGAAGGTTAAATATAGTAACATAAAAAATTACTCTTGCAAACGTATATGTGTAATTTTAATTGACTGAGCTACAAAATTAAACCTCCATGCTGTCTTATTCTATATGGAAAGAGTTCTCAGGCCCATTCCAAATTCATGCTGGCAGTGGTAAGACGAGAGGTGTTTTGGGGGCAGAAATAGATGGACAGAGTGCTGATTTGACAGTAATAAATCCAAGATAGTAAATTATACCATTGTTGGTAATTTGCAAAGGAGAAGGTGATTCTTCTGCATTTAAAAAATGTGCTATGAAATTACAGGTTTCTAGCTCTATTACAAAAAATATTTATTCTTTTCTTAGCCTTGCATTCTATAATTTCTTAAATTATACTTTTCTGTCTTTTTTTTTAGAGGAACTTCATTGAGAATGAGCTTTTTCTCTTCCAGCCACCAAACTTGTTCCTATGCATTATAAGAATGCATGTGAACTTAGCATGTCATAGAGAAGAAGCCTTTGCAGAGATATTCTCATGGAAAATGCTTATGTGTTGTTCAGAAAAGAAAATGCCAGAGCCAGAAATGGCTCCTCCCTCTCTGTGACTGAAAGTTTGTGGGTGTAACCTAATCCAAGGTTCACATTTAGGACTAACAGTTTATATCCATCTTGTAAATTGTGTGTAGCTTGGGCTTTTTAAGGGACACAGAGGAATAGCATCCACAATTCTTTGTTTTGGGATTTTTTTGGTTGGGGTTTTTTTGTTGTTGTTTTCAGCATATCTGAATCTTTTAAAACTCTAAGTGTGTTAGTTTATCTGGAACTGGTAGAGAGAAAAGCCTTGTTGTAGGAAGCCTTTTTGTTAATTCTGCATCCTTCTGTGTGGACCTACCTGGTGGTGGTATATTGGAGTCAGTGAGCATAGTCGTTGCCATGTACATTTGTTCAGTTTCATACCATTCAAATCAGGTGTTTAATGGCATCAGGCACTGAAAAGACATTCCTTTGTGTAGCTATTTCCTGCCAGCACTTTGAGCAATTAACTCACATTTAACAGCTAAACGACTACAAAAGCTTGCCACACACACAGTTCCCAAGAAAAAGCAGTCAATTTATCTAGCCATTTCTTAAATAGTGTCCCAAGTTTTCTGCCAGTCTCTTAAGGCTAGCTCTACTAGGAAAATGACCTGTCACTGACAGTGTTTGTTGACTGTTGTAAGTCTCTAGAATGCCAATGGCTGACAGTGTTTCCCTTCAACATTTACGGGATTCAGGTAGTAGCTTGGACCAATGTCATGTCTACACTAGGATCTTTTCAAAGTAGCGTTTCCGCTGGGAAGGACTGGCCAGCATTGCGATTTCACTTCACTGGGTCCCCGTGGAAGTGCTTTTGTCAACAGAGCACCTCTATGCAGCAAGAAGGTGCAGTGACAAAAGATGTTTTGTGCTGCCCATGGGCATTATATAGTCACCCACAGCATCATTTGTGGTGCTGCGCCTCAAGGCACTGTGGGAGCCCAGGTACGCTCTTCTGTCATGATGTGACATGCCAGAAACATGCTGTTTAACATACCCTGTGTACAGACAGGAATATGTTTTTGCAGCTAATATGTATGCTTTTTCTTCCTTAAATATCGTACCTGCCCCTCTAGTCCCTGACATAGTTAGCTCTTACTTTACACTGTGTACTATCTCTTCATCAGAAACAGAATCTATCTATCTGTCATCTTGTCCTGTCATCTGTGCCAGCTGAAAGATGTCCGGGACTGCTCTTTAGTGAGGCTACAGCATTATTAAACTCTTGAGCCTTTCCTTAACTCTGCTTTAGCCTGGTGAATATCTAGTGTGTCACAAGGGCTGGCTTGTGAGGATGAGTAGAGGTTTTCCAGAAATAGCTGAGGACTTGGGAGTTGAGGTGGACTTTTCACCCTTTTGATCTTGGGTAGCAGCATTCAAAACTGTGACCTGTGAAATCATTTTCTTGAATCTATGGTGGGGCTACTCCTAAAGTAGTGTCTGTTCTGCAGCATCCATGCAGGTACTTTAGCCTAGAAATATCTTTTATCAGTGACAATGACGTCTGGGGAACTGGTTTAAATTCTAGGATTTTATCAATACATTTGAGTCATTAGCTCCAACATATTCACTACTATAATGTAAGTTTTATAGGCAGGGTTCTGTAAACTAGGGCTAAACAATACTTTTTTATAAAGACACTGGAAGATATGACAACCAAACAGTGAGAGATCATTTTCATGTTGTAGACAGCCTATCTAATTCATTCTCAGGGTTCATAAAATTTTTGAGGGCATGTATTTGGATGCCATTCAACATTGACATAAGCTACCTGACACCGATGTCAGTAAAAATGATTGAGTAACTGGATTTTCAGAGGAATTTGGTAATCAGTGTCTTACCTTCTGACTGCCTGATTTAAAGAACTTCTGAAAATGAGATTACAGGATCTGGGTCCACTAATTGGAGGGAGTATTCTATTGCTTTTTGTTTAATCATCCAGAACTTTTCCTTGTTTGGAATGTATACAAGAGCAGCCTCATAGAAAATTATGGAACTGTTAAATTTTTTGTATATGTTACTGGGGAGTCTGGGGGCAATAATAGCAATGTTTGAGTTTGGGTTGACCTTTTCAAGAAATCTGGGATTTTTACAGCTGTGGTAGAAAGTATTCAACTGTTTACAAAACTGTGCGTTCTGTTCACTAGCTCTAAAAATACATATCTTAGCAAGTATTTGCCACCTCTTCTACAACAGGAAGCTATAGAAGATTTGCAGCCTTATTCAGATGAAATTCCCAAGACCAGGAGCACAGCTAAGTCATGCCTGGTTTTATGAAAGTGTCACTTGGGAGCAGCAAAGATTATTCAGTTATTTTTTATGTGGTTTTATTTCTTCCCTTCGGACATTAAACAACACTTGAGTTAGTTGCTAAGAATTGGCACTACAGTTTTAAGAGTGGTGTTACCCATTAGTATTTGGTCAGTTACCAATGCTATTGCCTGCCTGACGAGGGTTATTTCTCTCCTTTTGCTTTCAGCATCCGTGTTCCCCAGCACACAGACAATTCGAAGTGGAACAGCAGCTGGGGCAGTGTCCTTGTCCCACCCCAGCAGCCACCCCTCCCCAGGACGTAATGTACAGGGTAGTCCTCTCCATCCTCCCCCACAGTTACCTCTTCTCTCAGCTGCGGACTCAGAGAGGTAAGCCCAGCCTCTGCTTCTCACATGCTGAGCCTGGGGCAGGACTGCCTTCAGAGCTGCCAGGATGGGTGGAAACTGAATTTTTGGTGTGCAGAAAAATTGTTACCCGGGTGGCAGCCCCCGGGTAACAATTGCTCTGGGTATGGGTTTACCAGGGAAGGAGAGGTGAAAGGAACTATTTTATCCCAGCCTGGGCCCAGAGGCTTTCCATCCATCTGCATTTCAGAGACTTCCTCCAATGCCCTCTTGATCTCCACTAGTGGCCTGAGCAAGGAAAGTCGTACTGGCTGGGACACTAAACGTCAGAGGAGCCCAGCTATACCTTACAGAATGGGGGCCCTGAGATTCATGTTTCTGTTTACTTGTGATGGGACCGTCATATTCTGTGTGCTCTCCAATACCAAGTGTTTCTGCAGGAACTTGGCTTTTTTTTTTTTCTTGACGTTTTATTAGGACCAATAGATAATGAAAGAATTTTTAATTCACTGGTTTGAGAGCTTGATTTACAGTCAGAATTTATATTATGCTGGCTAGGTACAAATGCCTTGACATTTGCTGTTTCCATGATTTTAGGTATCTCAGTGATGTGAAAGCAGATTGCTTGGAAGTGTTTTAATTCTCATGTTTAGATATTCCTTAATTTTTTTTTCACAGTCTTTCCAATTATTCATATAGAGTATGGTACTGTAGATTTCCACTTAGTTCATTGAACCAGAAGTCTACCAGATTACAAAACAGAAGAGGCCTAAGCAAATAGCTTTTCAGTGGAAAAGTCAGGAAGATATACCATCACACAAAAAACTGAATTCTTACTATATGTATATGGTATTTAAACATTATTTTATTCATTTCCCTATTTTTCAGTCCTCTAAATGAGAAATTGCTGTATTTATTAATGTATTTAAAGTGTTTCATTTCCTTGAGTGACAGAAATGCCAGTAATTTGGAGAGCACAAAGTGTCCAATTATAAATCTGAAAAGAACATTCACTATATTTCAATTACTGATAAATGAGCATGATTTCTCTGGAGGAAAGCAGTATTCTGCCTTGTATCAGAAAGGTGGAAGAACATGATGGCTCAGGGAACTGACAACAGGTGAAAGTACCTTTTGATTTCAGACTGCACATGTGAATTCAGCCAGTTCTGGAGCCACTGGGAGTTGCTGAGCTTTTTGTACACCAGTCTGAGATGAAACTTTCATGATCGTTGGAGCTCATGTAGTGGTTCAGTGCTTCCTCTCCACTCCTGGCCACACGGTCCTGACCTTTTTCCCTTGCCCTGGCTCTGGCCCTCTGTGCAAACTCTGGGGCTGCCTGTGCTCTCTTGCCTGACCCAGAGGCTTTTCCTTCCCAGTACAGTTTTCTCTCCAGTGTGTGAGCTGTCCAACGTCCATATCCAACGAGGTGACGGGCAAGGACAGATCAATAGTTATTACGGGTATAAATTTCATTATGAAAGACAGCGATCTTCTCATTAGCCCATTTCTGAGAAAGCTACGGGTCTAGGACCATAGCAGATGCATTTAGAGTATGACTTAACTCATTAAGTCCTTGAATGCGTTACAGACCTCAGATACTACAGTACTCTGCAGAATAACAGTAATAAAAACCTAGTGTGATTGATACAGTATATACAATCTCTAGAAAGGCCTTAAGTGCTAATTGCCATACCTGGAGCTACTTTGGATTAAAACAAAAGCTGTTAGTATATTCATTTAGGTAGTGTGACAAATAACAATTTGAATTCAGAAAAGAAAAGAAGAATTACAGCAGTGTTGGTTTGATTACAGAACATGTAATACAAATTAAGGGAAATGTTTAAAAGACAAAGTAATGCAGAATCTGCATCATGAATCTAATACAGTCCACCCGCCTAGGGGCCCTGTGAGTAGGCTGTGATTTACACCACTTCATGGGTGTGAACTGAACAAACCATCACTTCAGTACACAAAGTGCCAGAGACAGCGTCTTCGAAAGGTGTCAATCACCCTGCTTATCACCATCTCCTCATGGAGGGGACTGCAGGATTTAGAGGTGCGTGCAGGGGGTTTGTTCCCCGTATGCTGCGCGGTTCCTGACACACCGTGCGTGCCTGGGGTCATTTCAGAGCTAGGGCTGGTTGGCGAGCGCTTGCCCCTGCGATAGCCTGCGCCGGGGGAAAGACGGCAGTCCAAGCTGGCCTGGCTGTTTCGGCAAGTCTGGGGGCCAGCCATGTGCCCCTTACGTTTTGGACAGCAGGCTCAGGTTTGTGAGTGACAGAAGCAGAAGGAAATAAGCACTTTACCTACATCTAGAGGTACCATGGGGTAGAGAAATAATTGGAGGGCTTCTTTTGCGTCTTTCTCCACCTAGGTGGTAAAAGGGAGAGCGTGGACTTGATTAAGCCTTGTTAATGTGAGAAACTGAACGAAACATGGGACATACCTTACGCTGCTTTCATTCTGTGTACAGAACTCGATGTACAGAGAATGCAAGTCACATAGAGAGTTTAGATTCAAGAAGCAACTTCATTTACCAAAGGAGAGAGCGCGCATAATAAAAATGCAAATTTACATTTTGTTTGTTCCAGCTCTTTGATACTTAACTTTCAGTGCTCATCTAATATTAAATACTGCAACTGTTCAATGAAGGTACCAAATGGTAATGGTACCCAAAACAGTATGTATAAAAGGGAATATGTACTTGGCTTCCTTCTCACTTATTTTTTGTAATAAAAGGAGACATGGGCATTCAAGGAAGATGAAAAAATAAATTAATTAAAACCCAGATAAAAAATACTAGTTTTATATGGCATAGTTAACATGTGCAGCTCAGTGCCCAAAATTGATGGTGCCAAATGCTTGAAATTATTTGATTTTTTAAATTCTTTTATTATTTATTGAATTACCCAACATATACATTTTGCTTTTTAAAGCTTGCTTTTCTGAAAGAAGTAGCATGTTAACGAATGTGAGACCAGAACAGAATTTTTCATTCAGACTTGGTATTACAGACGATTTTTCACCTTCTTGTGAAGCAGACCTAGTGGGATGTCCCTGAAGCACGACACATCCTGGCTTGACAGGAATTTCTAGACACTGTGTAAAGCTGGAAAGAAAGACTTAGGGCTGAACTGTTCAGTTTAACATTACTCTAATACTATAATAAGTTCTGCAACAGTGCTTCTTTTTGATTATTTGAGTATGTGGTTACATTCCTTTTATGCTTTTGCTGTAAAATAGTAAGAAGCTCCAAGCCAGACATCCAGAAGCAAAAGCCTCTTAGTAGTTCTAACCAAGGAGTCAAGACATCCAATCTTCACATATTACAAAGCCCTTTGTATGTGGGGCTGCCTCGAAGAAAGTCTTTAGTTAAAGACTTTAACAGTGTGGTTTTGAAATCAGTACAGTAAATTCTTTCCAGGCAGGGACACTTCAGAGGACTGTCTGCTTAGACATTATCAGGTTTTTTGTTAATGAGCAAATGACACATCTAAATGACAGATGCTGAAGGGTGGAGGTAGCAGCAAGTCTAACCCTGAACCTGAGCCACAGAATCATAGGATCACAGAATCATTTCAGTTGGAAAGAACCTTAAAGATCACTGAGTCCAACCATTAATCCAACACTGCCAAGTCCACCACTAAACCATGTCCCTGAGCACCACATATACATGTCTTTTAAATGCCTTCAGGGATGATGACTCAGCTACTTCCCTGGGCAGCCCGTTCCAGTGCTTGACAGCCCTTTTGGTGAATACATTTTTCCTAATATCCAATCTGAACCCCGCGTGGTGCAACTTGAGGCCATTTCCTCTTGTCCTCTTGCTTGTCACTTGGGAGAAGAGACCAACACCATCCTCGCTACAACCTCCATTCAGAGACAGCCTGGCAAAGCTCAGCGTTTTTCTCCAGTCTGTTTCCACACTTCTTTTTTCCAAAGGCACTCTTTTCCTCTTCTTTGTATTTGCAAGAACTCATTTCTCTAATACAATATAGCCACAGAAAATGTTGAAGAGATTTTAAAGTTATATATCTCTGTCTTCAGGGAATCTGTATATTGAGGTGGCTGGTCACAGCTTCCTTCCTTAAATTCCACTGTAAATTCCACTTAAATTTTCCTTTCTCCTTCTCACCAAAGAGCATGTTGTACTGGTCAGAGGGTCTGTTCTTTCTTCCTGTTGTCCCTTCTTTGGGCATGATGGACTGCTGGTTTGATCTGAAATAGCAGTTCCTGTGTTCCTAAAGCTTGAGCATAAAAAGGATTTTTAAGCACTTGTTAATGACTGAAAAGAAGGATATAAAATTAAAGTCTACTGGCATGTGCAATCTACTCCCTCAAGACTCCATAGGGATAGAAACCTGCTGTGGGATCATTGCTGTGCAGGGTGTGAGGCAGAGCTTGACAAGTGCAAATTCAGTGGCTGAACAAAACTAGGAACAAAAATTTTTTTATGGGAGAAGATACTCTTCCTTTAAAAATAAAAATCATTTGCAACAGAAAAATCATTGGAGAGAAACATGTTGTATCAGAGGTAGGTAAAAAACTTAGGGTTTTACTATTTTGGTCAAATGATTGCGTTCATGGCTTTTGGGGAAAACATTTGATTTTTCAAAATTGTGCTTGGCAAAAGCTATGCTTTCCTTACAAGTGTTTTTAAACTGTATTTATTTGATTGGCATTGACAGCTAGCTGCACTAACTTACAGTGCAATATGTTGGCTTCCAGAATACTGTATTACAACAGAATGTTCCCCCCACTGACAGTGGACTGAGGAGCTGCAAAGTCATTAGCACACAGCATAAAGTGTGGACCCAAACCAAAATGTGAGGTAACAGCAGAATGACAGGGGTGTTTAAAGCAGAGAATGGAGACATCACCCCAGATTTTCTGGATTTGCCAAGAAAGACAAAGGCAATCAAGAGGGAGCAAGCATAGATTGTTCCTCACTTAACATGTCAGAAAGAACAGCACTGTACGGGACACTGTTGGAGTCAACAGCCTGCTACAGGGAGCTTATG